AACGCCGTTTGATTCCTGAATGTTTGCCGCATCTTTTAAGTGTTTACTCAACAACCTGCTCAGTGGCATGTGCCTACTGCGATTTTTTAAACATGACAATTTAAAAATGTCAAAAACTCATTTTTTTCAAATGGCACCCTCTATTTATTATTGTACCAATCAAAAGATCTTTTGACAAGCTTTCCATCAATATAGGGTTTGTATAGTCTAGTGTAAAATTCTAAGTTGCTATCCTAAATTAACTAAATTTCGAAAAACTTTTCTGTTTTGGACAATTAAAATCGAGTGAGCTTCTGTCATTGTTGCGATCTGTCAATTTTATTCTCAAGATTATAAGTCCCAAAATGAATTTTACTCGTCAAGAACTCACTAACATGGTATACAGTCTTGGTGAAGCGGATCGTAATATTTTATTGGCTCAAAGAATCTACAAATAAAAATACCCAAATGCAAGACTGCCGCAAAGTGCTACATTTAAAAAATTGTATAAAAATGTGTATAAACTGAGACCAACAACTGCGGAGGATATGAAACAAAGAATACGCGATACATTCTATTTCATAAATGCAGATATGCTAAGTCGTGTTAGACTATCTTTTAGACGAAGACTGCGTACTTGTATTGAAGAAAATGGTAATATTTTTGAGCATCTAAGAAAATTGTAAAATAGTCTTAATGTTATGTTTTTTTTATTTGTTAATGTTTTTACATTTTTTTTTTCTACTAAATTGTGTTAATACTGCTTTGCGATATGTTAGATTTTGCCTAATTTTCTCTGTAACTCAATTGTGCACAATATTGTACATTTTCTTACAGCAAAGAATTTCCAATTCCATACTTTAGTTTATTTTCTGTGCAAATTTTTTTTTGTGCATATGGCCCACTCGATTTTTATTGTTTAAAACAGAAAAGTTTTTCGAAACTTAGTTAATTTAGGATAACAACTTAGAATTTAACACTAGACTATACAAACCTTATATTGATGGATAGCTTGTCAAAATATCTTTTGATTGGTACAATAATAAATAGTAGGTGCCATTTGAAAAAAATGAGTTTTTGACATTTTTAATTTCTCATATTTAAAAAATCGCAGTAGGCACATGCCACTGAGCAGGTTGTTGAGTAAACACTTAAAAGATGCGGCGAACATTCAGGAAACAAACGGCGTTACTTACTTTAACTTGTGTGCAAGTATTTAGAAGGTACGAATTTTTAGACAGGCCCCTGCATTTCAAAAATTCTGGTAAAAAAGCGCCACAAATCAAAATTGATAACAGATAAATGAAAACAACCTTTATAAAAGTTATTTGTAATTTAGCGTAGAATCCAAAAATGAAATCAAACTGAGTAGATTCCATTTAAAAAAACATAACTTTTGTGTTTTTTTAATATTGGAACACCCTGTATATAAAACGTAATATTTTTAAAATGTGCATCAAAAACGCATCTATAATCTAAAAAAAGTAAAAGTCAATATCTCTTAAAATAAACAAGTTATAGAGCTTTTTCGGACCGTTGGGACAGTCTGTATATATTCCTCGAATTTATTGTCCATTTTTTTTATTATAGTCCCCAAGGAGCAATGACGCAAATCCAAACCAATGAGAAGATGTCGCACTTTGAACATCTTATGTAAAGTTGATTTTTGTTATTTACTAAAAGCTTCTCATTTTTGTTTGAACAGATTACAAATAAATGTTTCAAAAAACGACTAATTTTTAATATCTCCAAAACCGTTACTTGACGGATCCATGTTTATTAAAACTTGTTTGTTTGTTTTGGTCCATGACATTGCCTCCTGAAATATTTTACAATCTTTTTTTGACACCCTGTATATTGTACTTGGTTCAATATTAATAATAAATGAAACGTAATAAGCAAAGTCTTCTTACTATTAATCTAAGGTCTCAAATAGGCAATAGGCTAAGGCAATTAGACCATAAAATATAGTTTTGTTGTGACAAAACAAATGCACAACTTTGATAACAATCCAAAACAAGAAGAAGGACAACTAACCGATTAACCAACAGTGCAATTGCATCATTCGCGTCAAAATGAGTGTTTTTACCGAATTGTGGCTAGAAATTTTCCTCCTCTTCACACTTTTTTTCTTAATTTTGATCAACTACTTCAATTACTGTTACCAATACTGGTCAAAAAAAGGCGTTCCAACAATCAAACCGCGCTTTCCCTTAGGCAACACCAACATCATCCTCCCCCAAGGCCTGTCAATTGGCACCTTAAGCAAGCACTTCTACGACGAGTTCAAAGCAAAAGGTCACAAATGCGGGGGTGTCTACCTTGTGACCCAACCAAATCTGGTGGTGGTGGACCCCGAATACGTCAAAGACATCATGTCGAAAGACTTCCAACATTTCGTCGATCGTGGGTTTTACTACAACAAAAAAAACGACGTTTTGAGTGCACATTTGTTCGCCATCGATGGCTCGGATTGGAGGAACCTCCGGATTAAACTAACCCCGACTTTCACCTCCGGAAAAATGAAAATGATGTTTGAGTCAGTGGTCGAGTGCTCCAAGCACATGATTCAAGCTTTGGGGGAAAATCCGGGGGTTGATGTGGAGATTAAGGAGGTTTTGGGGCGGTTTACCACCGATGTGATCGGGACTTGTGCCTTTGGTATTCAATGCAATAGTTTCAAATACCCGGATGCTGAGTTCCGGATGATGGGCAAAAAAATTTTTGAGTACGATTTTTGGAAGTCCATTAAGGCATTTTTTTCGATTAATACCCCAAAAGTGGCGCTACAATTGGGCTTAACGTCAACACCAAACCAAGTTATAGATTTTTTCACAAAGATTGTGACAGATGCGGTAAAAATGCGTGAAGAAAACAACATCAAAAGAAACGATTTTCTTCAAATTTTAATTGATTTGAAGAATACCACAAGTTTGACAGTTGACGAAATGTCGGCTCAGGTTTTCCTCTTTTTCGTGGCCGGTTTTGAGACAAGTTCCACGACCATGACTTTTGCTCTATACGAACTTGCCAAAAATGAAGAAATGCAAACGAAATTAAGACACGAAATTTGCCAAATTTTGGCCAAAAACGACCACCAAATCACGTATGAGGCCCTCAAAGAGATGAAATATTTGCAACAAATTATTGATGGTAACAGTGAGAAAAATTTTTGATTTTGTTACAATTTTAATTCCAGAAACTTTGCGCAAATACCCACCTTTACCAACACTAAATCGTCGATGTACCAAAGACTACACTCTTCGTGGCACCGATATTATCATTGAAAAAGGCACTCCGGTCCTAATTTCGGCTTTGGGGCTACATATGGACCCGGAGTTTTACCCGGACCCGGAAAAATTCGACCCGGAACGGTTCACGGAAGAGAAAAAAAAGGAGAGACACCCATTTGTGCATTTGCCTTTTGGTGATGGGCCCAGAAATTGCATTGGTGAGACACTGAGACTTGAGTTTGAATTTTTTTGAAATAAATTTGCCTTTTCAGGGCTGCGTTTTGGGGTCATGCAATCAAAAATTGGAATTATCACAATTATAAAAAAATTCAAGTTGACGGTTAGTCCGAATATGAAACCAGTGGTGTTTAATCCTTACGTTTTTTTGTTGAATATTAACGACAAGGTTTATCTGCGAGCTGAGAAATTGTAGTTTGTAAAAAAATGAGAAATAAATATTTTGTGTCAAATGAGATAAGAGTTTTTTTTTAAATGGGAAGAAAATGCAATCGAGTGCAGTCTTGCATCAGTCGAAATATGAAAAATTGCTCAACTATTAATTGGTTTTTAAATTGATAAAATGAGAAAAATTGCATCTTTTTTATTTTGTTTTATTTATGACTGCAACACCCACACTAAAATGATTAATTTTAAAAACACGTTTCAAGAAACCTTATCACATGAATGTACACAAAAATAATGTGGTTGTGACTAAAATAACCAACAACAACGCATTAAATTTAATACTGTTGTGTTTGCTATTTAATTATTTTCCTTCTTTCGTTTCCACTGCAATAAAAAATGATATACTCTGATTACTGAATTGCGATTTTTGTGCTTAATTTTTTTGTTATTTTTCTAAAAATTTGTCTTCTCTTGAGTGTTTATGGAGATCTTTGAAGATTTATGAGTCATTCTAATGATTTTTTAGAATTTACAGGGTTTGTAAGAAATGAGAATAAGCTCCTCTGAGATGCCTTATTTTTTTAACACTGACAAATTTTGTGAGTTTTTATCAGGATTTTTAGAGATTTATGGGTATTTTAAAAATACTTTGTTAAGTTTTCTTTATTTAATTGAAGAAATTGTTAGAGTTTTTATTGATTTTTGGAGGATTATGATAGTTTTTTTGGATTATTTTAAATAGTTCTAATAAACAATACTAAATAAAAACCTAATGCATTTTTTGATTTATTTTCAAAAATAACCCAAAAGTGGAGCTGTAATTGGGCTTAACGTCAACACCGGACCAAGTTATTGATTTTTTCACAAAGATTGTGGCAGATGCGGTAAAAATCCGCGAAGTAAACATCAACAAATATGATTTTCTTCAAATTTAAAGACTACGAAAGTTTGCCAGTTTTTTTGTGATTTTCTAGAAAATTTGTCATTTCTTGAGTATTTATAGAAATCTTTGTAGATTTATGAGACATTTTAATAATTTTTTAGAATTTACAGGGTTTGTAAGAAATGAGAATAAGTTTCTATAAATTACAGATGCTCCTCTGAGATGTTTTATTTCTTACACTGCAAATTTTGTGAGTTTTTATCAGGATTTTTAGGGATTTATGCTTATTTTAAGAAGAGTTTGTTAAGTTTTCTTTATTTAATTGAAGAAATTTTAGAATTTTTATTGATTTTTGGAGGATTATGATAGTTTTTTTGGATTACTCCAAATAATTCTAATAAACAATACTAAATAAAATCCTAATGCATTTTTTGGATTTATTTTTAAAAATACCTTCAAAAATATTTTGGAATTTATAAAAAAACACATTTCGAGATTTTGGACTTCGTTTACCATCAAAACTATACTTTGTCATGCTTCTAAAGATCGGACTTTTTGGGATTTTAAAATAAATTTGGTGATTAAAGTAAGTTTTTAATTAAGAAAAAATTAAGAATCAAAATTTTCCTGTTATTTCTAGAAATTTGTTATTAGTTTTTTTTATAAATGATTGTGAATTACGCTTTACCACACTATTTAATTTAATTCCTTTTTTGTGGTATTGTGCGCACTAATCAATCATTTTTACACTTTGTGATAACATCAAAATTAAAATTTAATTAACTCCAAAAATTCATGTCAAGATTGAATTTCGCCCTTGGCTGAGCTTCTTCACATTGCATAAGCCGCTAATTAATTAAAAATAATAATTAATTAACGATTTAATCTACTGACTGGTGTACTTTACAAACTTTTTAAATTTCGTTTTCAATTTTTTTTTGAAAGAAACTTTGATTTTTTCACTTGTGCCAATCATATAAGTTCTTTTTTTTTGTATTGTATTTTTTAAGAAACAATAAAATACAATTATTTATTGTTATCAATTCAAAGAAATTGTTATTGAAATATACAAAGGTGAACAAAAAGTAAGTGTCTTTTATGAGTCATTTGTGTTCAGAAAATAGTAATTAATAAGTGCTATATGAAATGTGTTTTGGTTTTGTTTTTGAGTTATGCGATTTTTTTTATTAAAATGACAACTTATATAAAATTTTTCTAAAATTGAAATTGTATTCAAAGACTGTAAATACGTACGGTTGTCTTTTCAAAAAATTAAAATTTCTCAAAACTCAAAAACCGAGTTAAAAAAAATGTTGAAAAATCTTATTCTCGTCAGAACGACATATTTTTATATAAATAAATAGTTTAAACATAAAACGTTTTAGTTTTTATACACCTGGTAGATAACCAACAATACAAAAAGACGTAAATGTAATAAGCAGATAGCCATTACAACATTCAACAGGGGGCGTAGCTCAGATGGTAGAGCGCTCGCTTAGCATGCGAGAGGTACCGGGATCGATACCCGGCGCCTCCAAATTTTTTTTCTAAAATTAATATTTTACTAAAAAAATCTCGCACAATACACATTTATTTTTTTATTAAAACTAATTCTAATTTTTATTTATCATTGTAATGTAACAAAATTTGTATTTTGTTGTCAAGGCCAGCGCCGGCTTTGAATCGCACCCCTTCGTCCAAAAGCCCTCGAATTTCCGGTTTTAGTCCACACGCATGCGCACTCCGCCAATCATGCGACTACCATTCCAAGAAGTCTTCAAGTTGAATAGCAACAATGGTCAGTTGGTAAGCAAACACGAGGTTGGTAGGAGTGCGAGCGCGTTTTGCAACTCTCCAGTGTCGTGTCATCGAAATTTGAATTAAAAGTGAACAAAAATGGTGTGATTTCGCAAATTTCGCTCATTGAAGGGACGACGGTGAGTGCATAAAAAGTTTCAAATCCGATAATAACCCTACAAAGGGTTGGTGGCCACGTGACGTCACGTGGGTGATTCATAATTTGTTGAGTCGATAATTTAAGTGTTGCGATGGTACTGAGGGGTACTTGGGGTGAATTATTTTATTTTATTTTTTTATTATTATTCTCTTCTACTTTCCTATTTTAATTGTTTGTAATTGAACAATTGTTGTGTTACTAGGCCGGCCCTGGTTGCCAGATGCACCCTAACAGATGCTTCTTTCATTTTTCTTCTCTTAGTTTCACAAACAAAGAAAGTCTTTAATAGGGGGGCCCCTCGTGTCCTTCTAACATTTTTACAACTTGAAACGTGTTATTATTTTTAATACGTTAATTATCTTGATTTGTGTTGAAAAAATTGGTAATTAGGGAGGTACTAGCTGTTTTGCATACCCATTATTAACGATAATAAGACATTATGAGAATTTACGGTATTGTTTATTATAGTTTCTGATGTATACGTAATAATTAGTATTTAAAACCGGCTTCTTCAATTAACAGAATTTTTTAAGATTCCAAATTATTAATAAATTCTCTTCATCATTTATTCCTATTGATTTTTTTTAATAATCCTACACTTATCGAGAATCTTTCTAGTGCCAGCCTTATTATTATCTCTTTAAATTATTTATTTGACTCGGGAATCGACCCGTAAATTGATGGCTGTAGTCATAATAAATTATACAGGGTGATTCAAAATATACCACAATGCTGCGCTTTGTTTAAATTGTGACCAGATATATTTTTGCAACATACAGTAGAGTCCAAATAAAGGTAAGAGTAAGAAGAAAGGAGAAATAAATCCACATAATGTGCAATTACATGCTTGAATTACATTTAGTCATAAAATTTAAATTGGTGATTACTTACTAGTCTTCATAAAATAATCATTAACTTCTCACCACGCCGCTACCGCTTTAATTTACTTATTTTGTTACTAGTTTTATGACTTAACAGTTATTGTTAAAATGTCTGCTTTGATTTTGCAGCGCTTTGTTGAAAATGTGGTTCCAACTATCGTTAGAACGCATGCAATACGTTTTCTTTCTTTACTTTTCTATGTTTGTAGGGTTTTTTGTCTTGATTTTTTTTTTGAAAATTATATTTTTTTTTAGAAAATAAGCAGCAAACAATTACTAGGAGACTAAAGTTGATATTTTGTTCAACTACAGTGACAAAACAATAAAATTGACCATTATTTCAACGGAACACAGAATTACTTCTATTTTTAGTTTTCAAGTTTTTCATTTTGGGATTATTAAATTTTCTTTTAAAATTAAAAATAATGTTTCAAGCATAAAGAGGGTTAAAACAGCCAAACAAACATTATCACCGGAGTCAAATTGATGAAACTATAAGACTGTGCAATATTTCAACAGAATGCAAGATTTGTCTTCTACTTTTTTGTGTCTTTTAAACTTTATTTTGAAAAAAATTAATTTAATAAAATGAAAAAAAAAGTGTTATATGCCAAAAGTGGGTTAAAATAGCAGCAAAAAATTACCATCAGAGTGAAATTGGTAAATATTTTGTCCTACTATAAAGTTGCCCAGTATTTTAACAGAACGCTGAGACTATATTATACGTTTTCGTCCTTTACTTTTTTATGTTTTTAAAGTCTTTTGTCTTGATTTAATATTTTTTTCTGAAAATTAGATATATTTTTTTTCTAGAAAATAAGCAGCAAGAAGCTTAAAATAAGCAACAAAAAATTACTAGCAGACTTAAGTTGATATTTTTTTCTACCACAATGGCAGAACAATAAATTTGATTAGTATTTCAACAGAATGCAAATTTACTTCTATTTTTTTATTTTCAAGTTTTTCATTTTAGGAAAATTATTAAATTTTGTTTTAAAATTAAAAATAATTTTTCAAGCATAAGGAGGGTTAAAACTGATCAGAACGCATGCAATATGTTTCCTTCTTTCACGTTTTCATGTTTGTAAAGTTTTTTGTCTTGATTTATACATATATATATATTTTTAAATCATATTTTTTTTTCTAGAAAATAAGCAGCAAGAGGGTTAAAATAAGCAACAAAAAATGACTAGCAGACTAAAGTTGATATTTTGTTCAACTACAGTGACAAAACAATAAAATTGACCTTTATTTCAACAGAACGCAGAATTAATTCTATTTTTTGGGAAAATTATTAAATTTTCTTTTAAAATTAAAAATAATTTTTCAAGTATAAGGAGGGTTAAAACAGGCAACCAAATATTATCACCGGAGTAAAATTGATGGTAAAAAAACTATAAGACTGCGCAGTATTTCAACAGAGCGCAAGGTTTTTCTTCTATTTTTTAAAGTTTATTTTCAGAGAAATTAACTTAATAAAATAAAAAAAGTATTATATGCGTAAAATGGGTTAAAATAAGCAACAAAAAAATACTAGCAGACTACAATTGATATTTTTTCTTCCATCTTTTATGTTTTTACAATTTCTTGCTTTGAAAAAATAGTTTTATCTTAAGAGGTTGTTAATTTCCGATTTGATGTCAAGTCAAGGTGGTACTTGAGCCGATTATCGTAAAAATCTGATATCACACTTTCAACGAGTGAATTGCGTGTCCATTGATGAAAAACCTTATCTTAATCTTAAATTAGTTTACTGCGAAAAGGGCATCAAACCTGAACCTATAATTCCGTAATAAAAAAAATTGTTATAAGATAAATAAGTATTTGAAAAATCTTCCATTCCGGTAGCCCCCAAGCAGCCATTCACTTTTTTCGATAAACACTCTAATTGTAGTTACCGCTAATTAAAAAATTAATTTATGTAAATTACGCGACCTTATTTATCGAATTTTGGTCAAACACAGGGGCGTAACATCCGCGGGGGCTGCACTACCCAACTGAGTATTCATCATACAGTGACAGCTCTATTGTTCGCCTCCTGTGATGACCTTTCGTTGCATTGCGGTACGAAATGTCAACTTTTACTTTCTATCATCCATCACAAAATTACTGGATTAAAACAGTGCTTGAATTTGACTCAACACAAAATTGGGATTTTGTGCAGTGTTCTTAAGTATATAAATAACGTTTTGCGGTATTTGAGGCCTGCAGCGATTGAAAATAACTTGAGGAACTCCAAGGTCAAGGAGTGCACTGGAAATAGCGGCGCACCAAAATGGCCGCTGATTATAGCTTACGAAATTGGAGTGGTGCAAGCGCCCGCATTGCATGGGAAAAGTGAAAATTTGGCGGTTTTCACTAAATTCGCATTTCATAAAGTTTTATCTAGTTGTCATAGATAATTTATGGCCTACTTATTAGCTATTGACAGATTAGCTACTTTGGTGATAACGATAATTCAGCTGTTTCTCTTAATTATTCATTTCCGATCAAAGTGGCCTAATAGTTGACATCTGAGATAACCCAATATTACTAATAATTCAGTGTCGCCAACTTAATTTCAAAATCATAGGCCATAGAAAATAGCTTTTTTCCACAGTGACTTTTAAATTGATGATTAACACATGTGGTGGACCTGTTTGGTGACTCATACTGTATATTTTTGGATGGTAAAACCGAAAGTAATTTCTTTTGTCGTCCAATAAAGTCGAACGTTTTGTTATTGTGTTCACATAAATTATTTTTATTTGTGTTGCAATTGTGATTGGCAAAGAACACAATAAACGGGTGTTTATTTAATCTATGTCACGTATCATAATGGTGTTGCACTGTTGCCATCTTTATGATTACACAATTTACTTACTTGGGGTTTGAAATTTTTACATGAATGCAAATTGAATTTGAGTGGATTTTTTTGTTGCTGTTAAAGTAATTTGCACAATTATGTAGTTTATGCTTAATGTCTACTCAGGGCAATAGTTTTCTTCTCTTCGATTGGTATTATTGTCAAGGTTGTCCAGTTAGACCATATCTACCATTTCGCACAATACCATTAGAAAGTGCAACGACTTGGCCCGAGCCACTTGATAAAAGTCACTTGAACCTGATTTTGATGCCTTTCCAAAGATAGCGAGAAATTACTCATTGAAACTATTATATTAAATAATAAAAACAGAATAATGAACTTCGTAATAAAAAAATTGATTTCAAGTTTTGAATTCACCTCTCATAGGCAGTTTCTGGAAATTTGGGGTTATTAAGGATTTTTTGGGAATTTCAAAGCATTTATCTATTTCTTACTTGATATTAAATAAAATGCGTTTTTTCGAACTTATTTTCTGACTTCTGATTTTTTTGATATTTTTGGGGGATTTTAAAATTTTCTTATAATTTCTGCAGGATTTAAATTAAATTACTAGATTGTTGAAGTATTATTTAAGATTGCTTGGGATTTTCAGGATTATTTGGGTTTTCTTAGTATCCCTTAAAGAGATTTTTGTGTCATTTTGGTATATTCTTTAGAATTTTTTAGGATTTTTTAAAATTTAATAATAGTTCTGGTACAATTTTTGTTTCAGTTTTCTTATAATTTCTGCAAGATTCTTTAAATTGCAAGAATGTTGAAGTATTACTTAAGATTGCTTAGGATTTTGTACTTTTTTTATTTTTTTTATTTTTAGTCAAAAACTTTGATAAAAATTTCTTACTTAATATTAAAAATTTCTGGGCTTATTTTCTGATTTTTTTGATATTTTTGGGGGATTTTAATGCAGAAAGTTCCAATTATAATTTTCTTATAATTACAAGAATGTTGAAGTATTATTTAAGATTGCTTGGGATTTTCAGGATTATTTCGGTTTTCTTAGAATCTCTTGAAGAGATTTTTGGGTCATTTTGGTAAATTGTTTAGAATTTTTTGAGATTTTTTTTTATTTATTAATAATTCTAGTACAATTTTTGTTTCAATTTTCATTTTTTTTTATTTTTGAGTCAAAAACTTTGATAAAAATTTCTTACTTAATATTAAATAAAATGCGTTTTTTTAATGTAAAAAAAATTCTGGACTTATTTTCTGACTTCTGATTTTTTTGATATTTTT